GAAGGGTCGGTGCCCCCCGTCACAGCTCAGGGGCAGGGGAGCCGCTCGCCGCTGCTTCGGCGGTACCTGTGCAAACATCCCTGCCCCAACATGGGCTTTTATTAAAAAGCCTATTTTAATTAAATTTTAATTAATCTTAGGATGGTGTGGTTAATTAAAGTTGGTGCTGCTCCTGTGTGCTGAGAAGCCCTTGGTCAGCAGGACTGGTTTTCTGCTGGTTAAAATCTCAGAGCCCGCCGAGTGATGTGGCCGTTGCCGGGAGGGACTCAGCACCCCGCGCGTGTGGGGAAGGTGCTGGTACGGCTGGGTGCGGTTCTCCTGGGCTGCCTACTCCCGGGGGGGCCTGTGGACCCCCCTGCCCCACAGCCCCCTCAGGGACGGCCTCGGCACCGTGGGGCTCAGCCTGGCCCTTGCTGTCCCTCTGCAAAAAGGAAGAGGGGAGGTAAAATGGCTTTTGCTAAAATATTTTAGCAAAAGCTTTGCTGGGGCATCCAAACTCACGTCGTTCTTCGTGGTCGCCGCATCAGTGCTCTCAGAGAGCACCGCTGTTGCAGGGGTGGCTCACGGGTTTCCTCTCTGGTTTATGTCCTCGGGTACCCCGCGATGGCAACTGCAGCAAACCCAAACCATCGTGTTTCACGAAAGCTGAGCACAACCATGAATTCCTGAGCTCAGGTACAGTCGGCGCTGGTTTGTAGAGCACAGGCTGAGCAAAGCGATATTTCGGTTTCACGTGGGCTCTCCAGGCTCTCGGATCACATCGCCCCAAGCGTTCGCTGTTTGATAATAAACATTTTATTGCCCATTGAGGAGAGTGACTGTTTTAGGTCTTAAGCCCATGTTTGCTGAGAGAGTGTTTTGGGCGTGTGAGCAACGGGATGAAGGAGCCGTTTTGCTGTGCGGAAATCCCAGTGGCGTCCGGGGAAGCGCTGCAGTGCGGCAGAAATGCCTCAACAAGTCGCCCAGAGAAGCTGCGTGAAGCAGCCTGGCAAACCTTACGGCAGGTTTCTGAACGCAATTAGAGTTAAACGTGCTTTGCTGGCTTGGCTCGGGGCAGGGAGGTCCAAGCAGCAGGTTGGAGGTGTGTGAACAGCGGCGTTCGGAGACGTGCGGTTGGTTTTTGCTTGGCTCCAGGCAAGCACAGCAGGGAGGGGACGGGGCGAGGGGTGCAAGGACCTGATCCTGGTTTGGAAGGGCGCTTCCCAGCGGGAGCCCCAGCAGTCAGCCCCTCCGGTGAGCACGGTTATTTGGGGTGGTGGGGGGGAAGGTGCTGAAAAGGTTGGGGAAAGCACCCGTTGCTGCCCCCAGGATGCATGTACCCCCGAAGGGCATCCCTCCTGCCCAGGCACTGCTGGTGCCAAACAGGGGGGCCCGGCCGCCTGGCAAGGAAGCCGGGGATGAGAAGTGGCTCTGAAAATGCTGGCACTGTCCAAAAAAAAGAAAAAAAAAAAAAAGGAAAAAAAAAAAGCCACAAGTGGCTTTTGCCTCTTGTTTGGGGGAGGGAGTTGTGCAGGGCCCAGCGTCCCTCACAAGTGCTTTTAATAAAGTGTTCTTTCCTACGTCCAGGGGAAAAAAACCCAAAACCTCAAGCCTTTTCCCATTACATAAGGAACAGATGCTGCTGGGCAGAGCCCTGGCTTCCCCGCACCACAGCCCTGGCTGCTGCACGGCCTGTCCCCTCCCGCCTTGGGGACCCCGCTCCCCCGCCGGGCACAACCCTCCGGTGCCGCCGCTCCGAGCGGCGGGGTGGGGGGCCCTGGAACACCACCTCCCGCCCCCCAGGGCGGGATGGGGATCCCTGAAACACCCCGTCCTGCCCCGAAGTGCTGCTGCCAAGAGCTGGCCCCGCTGTGGGATCCAGCCGCAGCCCGGCAGGAAGCTCCATCCTCATCCTCCTGCTCTGGCAGCGTTCCCGCAGGGATCCCCCGAGCAGGGTTTTGGAGCTCTCCCTGCCCTTGCCTGGGTTGGCCTGGGCTCAAACAAGTGATGTTAAAAAAACCTGCCCCTGCCTGGGTGAGGGAGGAGAGGAGTACAGGGGCAGGTGGGGGAAGCTCCTCTCCTTTCCAGTGAGCCCCAAGGGACACGGGGTGGAGCAGCCCCAGGGGTGCAGGGGAGACGCCAGGGGGAACCTCAGGTTTTAAAACTAGAATTCTTCCAGGTTGAGGCAAAAAGGAAAGTCCTTGTAGGAAAGAGTCTGTCCAGTCCCAACTCTCTCCTTTCAGTTAAGTGAAATGTCTCGGTTAGACTTGATTTTTTTTGCTTTATTTTATCCCTTGTCGTAGTTAATATTCGGGTATCGGTACTTTTTCCAAGAGACTTCCTGATCCCTGGAGCTCGTGCTGGGATGCCCCTGGGAGCAGCTCGGGTTGGATCCCCATGCGTTTGCTGACCCATACAAGTGATCTTATTTAGGATGGTGGATGTTTGTTGGCTGGATGAATGTAGGCACCTACACAGCAGCTCCTACACAAGCCGTGTCATTGCTTGGTGCCTCAGTTTCCCATTGTAAACCAGTGCTTGCCTGCTGGGTTAAGTGCCCTGCTAAGAAAAGCCCTAGGTGGGAGCAAAGGACGTGCTTATTCTGTATTTGTATTACAGGTATTTCTGTGTGCACACAGACATGTAGTTTTTATTTCAGAAGAACTATTGAAGTGGTTCGGTCATTTCCCAAAGCATTAAGCAAACCCCTGAAAGCCTCACATCCCCTCCCTGCGGAAAAGCAGCCTCCTGCTCGGGACAGACGCAGTGCAAGGACAGCCGCCCAGGTCGGGTGGATGGCAGGGCTCAGCCCCTGGCACTGGAGCAGGACGCTGCTGTGCTCCGAGCAGAATGAGTTTCCAGCCCAGGGCTTTCAGCAAGAGACTCCTGTGTTTTACGTGGCTGGGGAGGGGGAGCGTGCCTGTCACCCCGAGCACGATGGAGGGAATGGGGAGCGTGGCTTGTGACAGCATGGAGGAAATGAAGCTGTTTCAATCCCGGATGAGCCCCATGAAGAGCCAGCTCCGTCTCTGCATCCACGTGGGGTCCGTCGGTGAGGGCTCCTGTGCGGGGTGCCGTGGGAGTGAGCTGGTGGGACGTGGCTGGGACGCAGCAGCAAGAGCTGCCGGTCCCCTGGCACATCTGCACTGTCTGCCAGCAAGGGAAAACCGTGGGGAGCAGCAGCAGCTTGGGGTGGCATTGTGTGTCGGGGAGCCACGCTGGGGGCTGTGCCCGCGGGGACCTGTGAGCTGCCTCCCGGCTGGCCCCGCAGTCTCTGCTCAGGGGGCTCCGCTGTTGGGGAAACCAAGTCCCCTCTTCACCGGGATGGCCAGAGGGGACGTGTCCACCCCCAAGAAGGAGGTGGACGTGAAGGGTCTGGGGGATGTGAGGGGCTCTGGGGCAGGTGCCTGTGCTGGTGGCAGGGGAGACCCATTCTGCAGCCCCTGGCTCTCGTAGGGTGACATGCCTGGGTAATTTCTCCGGCAATTAATGCCTCATTAAAGTGCACAAGGGAACAATCAGAGCAGTGAATTTTACACAGCACAATGGCTGGGTCCTGAGAGGTTTTCTGCCTTTTTTTTTTTTTAAAAAAAAAGAAACAGTCTTTTTCTGGCCTTAACTGCTTGCTGTCTGGAGGCAGAGGAGGTGGGAGCCTTGGTGGGCATCTCCATCCCCAGCCGCCGCTTGGGCTTAGCCCCTGCGGGTGCACACCCCCGTGATGAGATTTTCCTCTTTGCAACCCTGCGTGGCAAGTCGGCACCTCCAGGACATGTAGTCTGTCTGGAGGCTGGGACGAAAACCAGCCCTGTCCCAAAACGTGCGTGTCGAGATGCCAGTCGCCACCACGGAAACTCACTGGGGGTGGAGGAGGAGGGGGCAGGAGGGATGTCCAGGGCTGGGAAGGTGGTTGTGGGGGACCTCTGAGGGGGACCGACAGCCTGCAAGTGCCCTCTGGATGGTGCTGCTGGCAGGGCAGAGTGACAGGGGAGTCCCTTCCCAGGGACAGACCCTGGGGGGGATGAGACGAGGTGAGCAGAAGGGAGCGACCTGGGCAAAGGGGCTCCTAGGAGGGCTTTTGAAGACGAGGAGGTGACTGGCGGGGTGTGACAAGGCAGTGTCCCTGGCTGGCAGGAGGGGAAGGAGAGAGGAGGTCGTGGCTGGGGAGCCCTGTGGCATTTCTGGCTGGATTTTCGTGCCGGGTTTGGGGGGTTTCCTGCCACTCGTCCCCGTCGTGGCATCAGGTCAGGGCAGCCGTGCCTTGAGCCCTGACCACCGTGTCCCTTTCTCCCCCCAGGAGCCTGATGCCGCGGACGCTGGAGGGGCAGATCACGATGGAGAAGACCCCCAGCTACTTCGTCACCAAGGAGGCTCCCCGGCGCATCTACAACATGTCCCGGGACACGAAGCTGATCGTGGTGGTGCGCAACCCCGTCACCCGCGCCATCTCGGACTACACGCAGACGCTCTCCAAGAACCCCACCATCCCCAGCTTCCAGGCCCTGGCCTTCAAAAATGTCAGCACGGGACTGATTGACACGAGCTGGAGCGCGGTGAGGATTGGGATCTATGCCAAGCACCTGGACAACTGGCTGCAGTACTTCCCCCTCTCCAAATTCCTCTTTGTCAGTGGGGAGAGGCTCGTCAGCGACCCAGCCGGGGAGATGGGCCGTGTCCAGGACTTTCTGGGTCTCAAGAGGGTGGTGACGGACAAACATTTCTATTTTAATGAGACCAAGGGCTTTCCCTGCCTGAAGAAGCCGGAGGGCGGCAGCAAGCCCCGCTGCCTGGGAAAATCCAAGGGGCGGCCGCACCCCAAAATTGACATGCAGGTGGTCCAGCGCCTGCGGGAGTTTTACAGACCCTTCAACATGAAGTTTTATCAGATGACAGGGCAGGACTTCGGGTGGGACTGAGCCATCCACAGGGCACGCTGCCGTGCTGGGACCTGGTCTGCCCAGCAGTGTGCAGAGCCAGGACTGCGGTCCAGGGATGCTCGTGGCTGCCGTGGTCCTGGGATGCCTGTGGCCGCCCTGCCAGCAACGTCCTCCCTTCGTTCTAATTTATATCGGACCTTTTCCGGCGAGAAATGGACCCTTCTGGAGTAGAGAGAAATATTTAAGAAATAAAACCACAGATGACCCCTCTCCCCTCCCTGACCAGATTAAATATTCTTCCATATAAATCTTGCTAATCTATATTAACTGTGACCGTTCTCGGTGGCGAGTGGGAGCATGTGAGTGCGTGGGGGTGTGCGTGGGGATGACGGCTCTGCCATCCACAATAAAAGCTTTGGAAACCAGTTGGCCTCTGGGGCTTGCGGCCAGTGGGTTTTTGCTAGAGCAAATTCCAGCGCTGAGCGCAGGCAGCGGCTGCCGTCAGGCGGCGGGTGAGGCCGGCCGAGCAGCAGGCCCCAAGCGTGGGGTACATTTTGCAGACAGAAAATAGTCTGCAGGAATTTCCTAGTTAAGAAAAACAATTAACGGCAGTAGTTTTGAATAAATGCCAGATCCGGAGTTAGGGAGAGGGAGTTGTGTATCACATACCTTCTTATGTTCTTCGAGTAACCCAGATGATAAAGCAGGGCATTTCTAACCCTTAGGATGAAAATCCCTGCTTCCCCCGAATTCACCCAAGCAGAGCAAACAAAAGCCCCAAACTCTGACCTTTCAGTTCAGTAATCTCAATAGATTTTCAAATCTGCAGCCATAGAGGGCCATCATGGGAGGCTGCAGAAATTAGTTTAATCTGAATTAACTAGTTTTCCCTTAATTAAAGATGGGGAAAACATTTAATTAACCTCTAATATCTTATTAGTGACTTGTATTTGTCTCTTTAATGAGCTCATTATGTGTTTTCAAGGGCCCTCAGGCCCCTCATTGTTTGCAAATATACTTTGGCTGCGGTTTCTTCCAACCTGCCGCATCCCAAAGCTGACGGTCCCGTCCCGCCCGGCCCGGTGTGCCCTGCCAGGTGTGCCATTGCCTCCCCTTCACGCTGCTGCTGTCCGGGGGTGATGGAGGTGGCAGGTACCGCTTCTCCTGGGATGCACACCGGGCACCGGCCCCTTTCGCCCCAGCTCCGGGGCGGTTTTACACCGGCGCATCGTGCTTTGCCCCGCACAGCTCTCCCCGCTCCCGTGCCCCGGCTGCTGGCACCTGCTCTGTGCCCCTTGGAGGTGACGTATTTTCTGTGCCGATGCCCTGGCCTGTAGCTGAGGCTGAGCACGTTTGCCCTGTTCAGCCCTTGGGCTCGTCTGGTCGCTGCTGGGACAAGTGACACGCGCGGTGACGGGCTTAACGTGATGTTGGAGTTAAGTTGCCTGTTTCTGCACGGGGAGCGGGACGTCGTGGTGTCGGTCCCTGCTGAGCATGTGTGAGCGGCACTGGGGACAGATGCAGACGCCGCCGGTCCGGTGCCAGAGCCTGGGGGCTTTGTGGCCGGGATTAAGAGACTGGGGTATTGTAGCAGAACGGTAAGAAGAGA